AAAACCGCACTAATGGAGGATTTATATACAAAACTAAGTTTATATATTTTCTCACTTTGTTAAACTATCGGTCAAAATGGGTTGGGTAATTTGCAGTCTGTGTGTATGTATAGCTCCTGCAAGGCAAGATACAAGTAATTCACAGTCATTGACCAATCAACAACCACCACATCACATGCCATGCCATGCTACCACAAACATCCTGGATGGATCACGGGGAAAATGTATAGATACAACGTAGCACAAATTTACCTACACTAGGATGGGCGAAATGTCTGTTAACACAAATACGACCTTTAAATCCACATTTGCAAGGTCATCAAAATTAAACTGAGACATTGAATAACATTCCACCATAGGTCAAAAAATTAGCGAGAAAAAAAAAACGTGAAAAATTATTTGGACCTAAATATAGATGACAAAAAACCCTGGCTACCCTTAGATAAAATTAATGTAGATATTGAAATTTACAAGTAATGTCTGATGCTTGTGCCATGATTTACACGTCACCATCTGAGTGACACATCTGAAGGCAGCCTATCCTTTAAGACAAGATGCATTGATTCCGAAGTTTGCTGGTGAGCACTGCCAAGTTAAGTTGGTTAAACTTCAGCAGCTCACACACATAAAATAAAGATTTTCTATTGCACAATTAATGCATGGAGTGTCAAATATTGAGGCATCAAACAGCTGACAAATTGTCCTGCGATTCCTTTGACTTCTGGTAGCATTTTCCAATTAGTTCAATATATATATTTCTTTGTAAGACTATGTATCCACATCGTGTTCAGTTGTCTCCCCTTTGGCACTCCATTGGACTGACTGAAGTTGTCAGAACCGACTACTGACCAGCAAACACACGCTGCCCTAAACTAAAGCACAAAACAAGCCACTGAAATCTGAAGATTTTTTTTTGGGTGTTTGACACCTTGACACTTCATCTTCCAATTAATATTTATTTTCACAAGTTGACGAAATAATTACTCGTCTGGCCAACCCAAGTAATTCCTTGAATACTGTGCTACCTCTAAATTTACAATCCAGTCTTGTAAGGGTTCATTATCTGTACATTATTTCACACTCAAGTTAACTACCTCAAATTGCCATGACAACCCCCTACAATGAAACAGAACAATCAGCTATGAAGGTGGAAGGATACCATCTTTACACTGTCAGGGGAGGTCAGGTATTGTCTGATGGGTTGAAGTTTACCCAAAATAGCACCATGTCTGTTGAGTCAGTGGTGTTCAATACCACTAGATTCATCTTGAAGCAAAGGGCATCTTGATTTCAGTTGCGTTTTATTTTCTCTCAATCCTCCAACATCTTAATTTTACTTGGTTGGGGATTTGAGTCCATTGGCAGAGTGTTCTTTCATATTGTCTGCATTCTGTTTTGTTTGCAAATTAGTAGGTTTATGATGGGTTACAGCATTCCTCTGTGATGAGTGTCTCTGAGGCTGTGGTTTGGATACAGTCGCATTTTTCTGTTGTTGAGCAGTAGCAGTAGTAGTAGTTGGGGGTGGTGGTGACGGTGGAGGTGGTGGTGGTTTCTTTGCAGGCATCTGAGTCAACATCTGGGCATAACTCAGCTTTGGAGCTTCATCCTATTTATAACAAAATTAATATGAATAAGTCATTATTAATGATCATTCTCTTCCAGTTTTTAGTGACTGAATTAAAAACAATGAATATTATAATTAAATGTTAATTAAAAACTATCAAACAATGTCAGAGAAATTGTACAACCAACATTGCCATCAAAATTCAAAAATAACATATGCAACCTATAACCTATTATGTCTTGCCATTGTACTACATTTAAACAAAATTTATAAAAGTGCAAGAAGTGGGGAAATACATGAGTAACCCATCATGAGTGATGTCAAATGAGCTGTGGGACACGCGTTTGAATCTTGATTTTTGGATGTTTTGGGGGGGGGGGGGGTTAAACTGTACAACTGTCAAAGGAACAGAAAATTAATCCAAGTGCACAAGTCTCCCAATATGACTTGTACATTCAGTAATATTTTTTGGACAAGACAGTGAAATTGAATACTAGTACAACATAAAATCAGAATGTGCATTCACTGGGACTAAATTCCTTAAAAATTGTGAATTTTATGCAAATAATTAGAATATAATAAAAGTTATAGTCTCACCTGTTTTTGCGCTATGTTGTTGTTGGCAGTGCTACTTTGTTGACTGACTTTACTGTTGACTGGTGGTACAGCAGCAGTAATTGTTGTAGTAGTTGTAGTGGAACTGGTGGTATTTGTATTGGTATTACCGGTAGTTGTAGTTATGGGCGTAGTCCTCTCCTCAGATGCACCTTGAGAAATTGTTGTAGTAGGAGAAGCAGGTGGGGTCGGCCCGTGTTTTTGTACACTGTCATTCACAATGGTTTCTTTGTGCACAACGCCAGTTTCCAACGGCCACACTGGACGCTATCAAATTAACGAACGAACATACAAGTTGTCACAAACATTGCACTATCACAGAAACCAAATTAAATCAATAAGGTCATTTTCCATCACTGCAAAATCCTGCATGAAAAATCTAATGACTGGATTTTAAACTACAATTTCATTTTTTGAAGTATTTTACTGTGAATTTTTTTTTTCCTATGAGCAGGAATAGACTTGGACACAAATGGTGGCCGCAGTATCCTTGAGAGCAGTAAAGACGTGCGACTTGATTGTGTTAGTGTTCCATATTCTCTTATCTTCACATCTACTGATCCAAATTTCATGGTTACGTAGATCCATGGACATATCAATAGTGGTGAATATTGTTTAGAGGCAAAAACTTGAGTGGTTCTCTCA